GGGGGGGCCCCCCCCCCCCCCCCCCCCCGGCCCCCATTGAATGTATTGAGGGAGGAATTTCTTTTCAGCGGTCCTTTAACTTCTCACTTCCTAAAAAACTTAAAATCCGTCCCTCTTCCCCTCGTAAGAATGCCCAACCACAGCCTTCCAGAAAAGTTCATAAGTCTCGAGTTGTTAAAGCATGAAAAGCTGAAAAACTTTCAACCGGCGGCGTGACATTCCTTTCCACCATGATCGTCAATGGAGGTACGGTAGGCCCGGGCCCATCTGCTTCCATTGACGATCTACTACTGCTGAATATCTCGAGCTGCCAATGCTTTCCACGATTATAACTCCAAGCTTCCTGCGCCACTCGGTCTGTCTAGGCCGATAATTTCGCATTATTCCAGGGCCCGATCGTAGGTAATGGCATATCATTGTAAAGCTGTTCAATTCATACGCAGTTTGGCGTAATCGAAAGTGGATGAAGAGTAATTCAAAGAAGCATGTGAATGTACAGACTTCGATAAGCGAAGAGTTTAAGAAGTTGTTTCACGTGAGTCGATAGGGTTGAAACCACTGGAATTTAACCAAAGAATGTGCGACTCGTGCATACAGTGGAGGATTTAGTACAGATGTAGCTTGGATAATCTCCGTGTAAATGGAACGGTTGGACTCACCATGATTGGCTGTTCGTCTTCACAACACTTCAAGTCTCGACCTCTTCCTACTGCACAATGGAGAGGTAAAGAAGGAATAGGTCTTGGAAGTAGAAGTATTTATTCCCGTCATGATTTTTCATGTCTTTGACCTTACCCCTCGGGCTACGTGTCGACCGTGTCCATCTCCTCGTCCCATAGAGTCCTCGTCGACCGACACAAGGAGTGGCCTCTAGGGCTACGGCGGCTCCGGCCCGCTGGATACCGCGGATTCCTTTTTGAAAGCTTCTACAGGCAGACCATGAACAATCCAGTTAGTGGGTCAGGAGTAGCTGGACTTCATGTCCCGGTATATATATCTTCCTTGACGTCACTGTGTCCGCTTTCTGTTCCCTCGGATATTCAACTGAAAATCTCACTGAGGAATAGAGTATCTTTATTTGTAAATATATGGGAGGGGTCGATAGATAATATATATATATGGATTTCACAGTCGCCGTATCACAAAAGGTCGATGACCTAAGGTATCCCCGAGATAATCATGTCTCCATATTCTTCATTCGTACGGGAAGACCTTTGGAAAGACTTGAGACGGACTCCGTGCAATTGTAATAAATTTTGTCACAGTCACCATTCTGCAACCCAAGTTCTATTGGCTCCTCGTACTTTTCGGCATTCTTCAGCCTTTTGCTGGAAAAGGACCACAAAATTTTTATTGAAATTATAAAGATATTAGTTGAGTTAGGGACTTCGACAGCTAACCTGATGAGTTGGTAAAGTTGAATGATGGAATTGGGAAGAGTTGGTACAATGCGGTGCATATGACAGATGATTTTGTGCTTGCAAGAATCCTCCTTGATTCCCACGTATGAAAATCCATCTTCCATATCTGTTGAGAAAGGGGTAAAATCAATTGATATTCTCCCTATAATGAGTAGTGAAAAGAAACGGCACAATAAATACCCAAACGNAAGGGAGCTTGGCACCCACCTATTATGGAATGAGTTTCTCCAAGGACAATTTGATCGATACTCTTCCTTAATGTTCCCAGTACACACACATTCTTCACATACATTCTCATACATGCACGCATGTGTTTTGCCTTTTCTTAGATTTCTACTTTATATGTAGAAAGAGCAAAAATGAAATGTCCTCGTTGGTTTCGATGAATGCAATATTCTTCACATCTAGACGGATTTCTCCACCCTTTATTTGTTTCTGACTTTGGTCTGGTCTTACGATCGTGTAACCGATGTCCTTAGAGAAATAGAAGTAATTGCTTTGCTGCTTTCCCTGGAAATTGGATTTGAGGACCTTATTTCCCCTTTCAATCTCTGCCATTGACTGTTTCACAAAGGGGCCCTTCTGGTGCATCATGACCGTTACACGACGCGTGGAATACAGAGCAGATCGTGAGTACAGTTCCGAAGAGGCCAGATCACCAAGAGGTTCTCACAAAATCAGATCATTCGATTCCGCGCAACGAGACGGGGATCTGTTTGAGTCTGATTACAGTATCAGGAATGAACAAATTAGTATCGCTTCCTCCATCGGAACCATTAGACATAGATGCCAGGAATGACATTTCCTGAAGAGCCAAAATAGGAGGGGAAAAGATGGGATAACAGAGCTTTATTATATAGGATATGAAGAGGATGGCCGTCCTCCCATCGTTACATTATGGAGCCGTGCCATCTTATCTCGCGTCGTGGAATTGGAATCAATGAAGCCCTTTCCCCAACCCCAAATGTAAGCGGAGCGAAGTAGAACTACCATACAGCACAGAGAATAAGTTAATAAGAGAAACGTGATCGATCTCCACGGAGTCGACCTTGAGACCTTCCCTCGAGTGCTTGAACAAAAGTTATGAAAGAGAATGTTGATACAACGCCCTCTTTTTTCTTCTCTCTCTTTTTCTCGTGCTTGCCCTGGAAAAAAATTAGGAGAAACCAAACCGGTCGATTCGGTTCTCGCGTAGGTGAATGTCTTCTGAAATATGCATAGGGTCTCCCGTCAATCGCCGGATATTGGAAAAGAGCCGCGTGTCTCTGACGTAAGAAGAGCTGCAGCATAATTATGTCCGATGAATTATTGCAGGGAATCACGATATTTCACTCGTGAGATTCTCCCATATGACCCTCGAGTCACAGTTGCTGACACGGGAATCGGATCATTTCAGACGAAAGCCACGCATGCTGTCAGCATACTGCCACATATTATTTGATCGATGAGTGACCGATAGGGCGGGGTTGAATCCCGTTGGTTTATTGGTACATTTGATGTCGATCGATAGACAGGTGAGGGATAATGGTGCAATGTCAATCCCTGAAATATTATCCGTCAAGATGGTTGAATCGATATGGGGCGTCTATATCGTATAATCAACGTGGAGGACAACGACAACGAGCTCCATGTCCATCGTAAAACGAGGCATTTCTCTTTATGAGCCCATAACGTCAGAGAAGTGATCATCACGAGGAGGCAATCTGGAACGAGATGCAATGGACAATTTTTTTTTTCTCTCAGGGGAAACTGCAAGAGCTTCGGATGATCTCGGGGCCCGGAGGATTTCGGTGGCAATGTCCAAACCTAGATCCTCCTTGTCCTACCTGTGGACAATATCAACAGCTCACACAGATGGTCCAACATCTCAGCGACACTGTCACCCAGCTCAGCCAAAAGGTGAGAAAATGCAAAATAAATTTAATAGGGGGTAGGGTGATTATCTCGATAATCAGCGTCCCCGATCTGGTTAAGGCACTATATCAGGACCGTTTTTGCTAAATTTGATTTTCATTTAATCTTTTTTATTATCCTACTTTGGGAAGAAGCTGCAAGAGTAAAACTTGCAAAATATAGCTCCAAATATGAGAGTCGAACAGGTAACTTCTGAAGATTAGTCGAAGGCTTGTTTATTTCGTTTAAACTCGTTTCGCCTTCGGTCTTGGATAAGCAGTGACGCGCAGCCTGCGTGTTAGGGTTTCCCGCTTGCATCTCGGGTCCAGCAGACATTCAATTGACAAAGATGAATGCAATAATAAACCGATCAGCCGATAGATACATTCGATTCTTGATGAAATTTTCAGCTGGCAGAGGCGGAATCGAGGCTGTCCAGGTTAGAAGAATGCGATTGTAGGAAACCATGTCACGTGAACGGATCTGTTCATCCGGACGGGGCTTCCTGGCAACAAGATTGCAACA